TCATCAGAACCACATTCCAGGCAACCGCTCTGCAGCGAGCGCTTGCCTCCACGTTGGGGTACGTGCATGGTGACGCGCAGTGGCACCGAGCGTCCGTCAAACTGCTGAACAACTTCACCTGGGTCCGGTGGCTCCTCGCGTTCGGGAAGCATTTCCAGGGATTCCGAACGTATGGGGACAGCTTCACGGCCAGCGTGGTCATGGCTCACCCGCTTTCTTTGTGGGAGGGAGACTACCCCGCGGGGATTCCTCTCTACGCCTCCATCGTGCTCATGTTGCTGGCCGTCGACAAGTGGGCATCACGAAAACTAGACGGAAAGTGAGTTGCGCTAGAAGACCGGACGATCCAATACCGCCGTCCAAAATTGTGGTTTTTGGGCTGACCTGAACGTCACAGACCAGGGTTCGTCCCCCGCGTTCTCGCGCAATCCGGACTTGTCACCGTGAAGAATGGTTATTTCGAAACGTCGACGTCTGGGGAAAAGCTGGAGTAGTTTGGGTTGTGCGAACATGCGTGTTGGAGGTTGGAGAAGGAAACTTTCTGGGCACGTCACGGATTCCGCGAGAAGTTTTGCTTTCGGCTGCGCACATTACAGATACACGCTTAGAATTGTCGCGGAACAAGGTGGAACCATGGCTCACAATTGACACATTGTTTACAGTCACATCAGAATGATTACTTACTATCAGGATTCAACGTTTCAAGTTTTCCGACTCTTGGCTGCTCCTTATTGAGTAACGTGGTCGTAAAGAGTTTGCAAATGAGTATTGGCAAAACAGTCACAAGAGAGCCGCAACCGCAGGAACCAATGTGGACTCGGTAAACCTCCGAGGCGCGGATGGATCACCGCATCTCGCATGCAGGTTACGGACCCAATCCCAAGTGCCGCAGCTAGTGGTCATACACCTGCATTGGGCAAAGCTCGCCGTGAAAAGGGAGAGCGAAGCCGATCGGCTCGTCGCATTCGTAGCGAGTGCCGTCAGCCGCCAGGGTCCGGCCGGCGAGGTGAAGAACACGAGGGCTGTCCTGAGACTTATATGCTTCCAAGATTCCAGCCCCTTTCCACGCACAAGAATGATGAGATCTGATCGAAGAGGGAAAGGAACGGGCGCGGGCCTTATGCCGGCCTTATGCCGCTCATTAATTGCGCGCCTTCTAGAAGGCGATAGCGTGTCTTACTAAGTTACGCCGTGCATTACGCCGTCGTCACTATCCCCGTTCGCGCCGTGTTCTCAACGCCGCGAGTCAGCCAGCCGTTCGTGACGTGGGGGTCTTTTCGGTTCGAACATCCACTGATAGTGGTCCTTTTGGTCAACTCTTGGCCTACGTTGGGGCCTTGGCATCGCCTGCTGCCGTCTTGGCTGCTGTTGCTTAATTTTCGCCGCATTGCATGGCATTGTTATCAGTGCTGGGCGGATCATCTTCAACGGTTCGACCGTTCAACGACACTTCAACAGATGCGCCGTGTGTTTCTAGGTGGAACCTTTTCCCACAATCCATACGCCGAACCATCCATTGCATCCGTAGTCTTCTAAGGCCTGCATCTAAGCTCGTACGACCAAGCTTTGGCTTTTTCTGCCCCCTCCTTAGCCGCCATGAACCAAAGGCCGGTTCCGCAGCCTGCTTGCTGGATGGTGGGAGGGATTTAAGCAGCAAGGCGGGACCTGGGAGGGTCGTCATGAGCGAAGGCGGCGAATAGGTGGAACGACAATTCGTCTGAGCGTCTCCACGGGGGAGGTGTGATGAAGCTATCGCCTTCAGGGAAACGGGACGGGTGTGGCTGGCTCGGTCGACTTCCGTCCTAGCCCTGGCCGACTCAACCGGGCCACGCACAACGGAGCGTAGTCGGCATTGACGACAGAGGAAGGCCCGCCGCCGCCCGTACGAAAACTTCTTAGCTTTGGCTCACCTTACGCTGGTCTACTCCGTCCTGCTCCGTACGCTAGATACCTTGTCGAGCACTCCCCAGGCCCGCCATGGCCATCTCCCCTCTCCTTCTTTTCTCCATCTTTTACTCGCAGCCTCTCCACATTGCTGACCCTTACCTCAACGGAGAAGCAAGCTCGTTTGGAGTTTGGATTATGAATCTGCCTTTGCGGTCAGAATCCCGCGGGGTCTCCGCAGACTTTCCCCACAAGGGACAGTCACATTGAGATGAACGCGGTCCGCTAGGTGAAATTCCTTAAGAGTGAGGTCGCCTCGCCTCTCTGTCGTGGGCTCTTAGTCTGGTTCTCTATCCCATCCTCGTCGACTGTCTGTTCTCATTCCTACCGTGCGGACATACAATCAGGCTGAAGCGTCACCCGTCACCTGAAGAATTCGGATCACAGCCGTGCGCACACACATCAGTCCCAACAATGGGTGCGAACTACTTCGGCCAAACGGGCAATGCCCTGAGTGTTCTCCAGATCGCTCTGGTCGTCTGCCCGGCTTTCATCCTCTTCGGATACAACCAGGCTGGCCTCGGTGGTCTCCTCACCACTGAGGATTGGGTCAAGACCTTCCCTCAGATCGATACCGTCAACACCACCGGCGAGACCAAGAACGCCAACTCAACCCTCCAGGGTTTCGTCGTTGCTACCTTCACCATCGGTGCTCTCTTTGGCTCTCTCTCGTGCTCCTGGTCCGGAAACGCTTTCGGACGTCGCAACGTCATCTTCTTTGCTGGTGTCTGCACTCTCATCGGAGAGATCCTCGAGTGCGCTTCCTTCCACCTGGCCCAGCTTATCGTCGGCCGTCTCATCGTCGGTTTCGGAGTCGGTCAACTCAGTTCTATTGTGCCCGTGTGGCAGAGTGAGACCTCCGGCGCCGCGAACCGTGGTCGCCAGGTTGTCCTCACTGGTCTCTTCACTTGCGTCGGTTATGTCTTGGAGAGCTGGATCAACCTTGGCTTCTGGGAGTTCAAGACTGGCCCCGTCACCTGGCGTCCCCCTATTGCCATTGCCATCCTCTTCTCCTTGATGTTGATGGGCAGCATCTACTTCCTTCCTGAGTCTCCCAGATGGCTCGTAATGAAGGCCCGATCTGCCGAGGCCCGTTCTATCATCGCCGCTTTCCGGGGTCTTCCTGAGGACTCCCTCGAAGTCCAGGCCGAGGTTGCTGGCATCGAGCACTCTCTTGAGGAGACTACACAAAACGCCGCCAAGCTCTCCGATATGCTCAAGATGGGCGACGACAAGCTCGCCTACCGATTCGGACTCTGCATTCTGCTCCAGTTCTACCAGCAGATGTCAGGAAGCAACTTGGTGTCAGTCTATGCTCCTATCCTGTTCCAGCAGAACTTGGGCATGGAGCCTGAGCAATCCAAGGCCCTGGCCGGAGGTGCTCTTACCTGGAAGTTCCTCTCGTCGTTCTTGGCCTTCTTCGCCATTGACCGATTCGGTCGCCGTGCTGTCTTCATCTTCAGTGGTTTCGGAATGGCTGCCTGCATGACCTGCCTTGCCATCACGACATCCTTTCCCAAGGACAATCAGGCTGCCCAGATTGCCGCTGGTTGCTTCATCTACCTGTTCAATACCTTCGTACCTATCGGTTTCTTGGGTGCCAACTTCTTGTACTGTACTGAGATTGCGCCCATCCGTCTCCGCATGGCCATGTCTTCCATCTCTACTGCCAACCACTGGCTCTGGTAAGTCGCAACTGCATCTCGCATCTTCTCATCATGACTTCTTACTAACAGTCGCTCAGGAACTTCATCGTCGTCATGGTCACCCCCGTTGCCCTCAACACGATCGGCTACCAATACTACATTGTCTACGCCGTCATCTCGGCCTGCATTCCCGTCAGCGTTTACTTCCTCTTCCCCGAGACTATGGGCCGCAACTTGGAGGAGATCGAGCTTCTGTTCAAGGAGTCTCCTTCTGTGTTTGCTACGGTCAAGTTCGCTAAGAACCGACCCATCGCAATGCCTCAGGAGTTTGAGAGCGACAAGCCATCGCAGAAGGCTGATTACGTTGAGAAGCAGACGGATGACTCTGCGTAATGTAAAATCGAATAATTTGGCGGATGGGAATATGCAGGATGGACATTACAGGAACAGTTCAGCATTAGCAAGCGGAAGTCTCTTTTTCTTAGCGAAATGAATCAAAAGTCATGATCTTGGTATCTGCGGATACCACACCCAAATACTGCTCAACTTGCTATAACTACACGTGAAGCGCCCTATCCCATGGTTACACAGCCATTTCAACCACCCAAAAATGCTCAAAGATGAATAATGAAGAGAGCTGACAGAATGACGAAGCCACTTGGCTGTGGCACTACAGTGGCGCTCTTGGTCCCTTGAACATTGTGGTGTTTTGTTATTCCCGGGTCCACTCGTGAGCGGCACGTTTCCTCCACGGACTCGGGATACCTGGAAGCAAGGCGAATGTAGCTCACCTCGACGCTGACATCTCCCCATCAAGCACGTTTTCAGACGCGTGATAATTAGGTAATGGCTTGTATGGAATTCGAATGCGGGGAAAGTTGTATGTCTCGCACTGCTCAATTGTTTAGGTGACCTTCATTGGCGTTCACTGTGACTGTATCGTTGAAATGATGAGGGGGTGAGCTAGGTAGTGAGAGAGGTAGGTAGTGCTGAGCGCTCATGACGAGAATGAGAGCATCGTGACTGAGTAAACCACGAATGAAGGCCAGTCTCGATGGAATACATTTCGAAAACAAGGAGCTGCAGATACAAAAACTCAATTGAATTTCCCATAAACCTCGTCGCGTCAGATCAGACCAACCATATCAGCGTCTTCATGGGGGAGGATCAATAGTGCTTATCTATGCATATTCAGATGCCATGGATCTTGTGAGATTGCGAGGAGGTCAGACGCGTACCTGTCCGGGCCGCATCTGATAGTGACCGCCAACATTTGTCTGGTCTTACTTGCAGCTACACTAAGCCCCAATCTGGCAGGAAACACAGGCTCAGATGCCTTGAACGTAACATCAACAGGGCTGATAAGCTGGGGTAAGACCACTGTGCCTGTTGGGGTGCCATGCTCCAGTTGGCCATGGGACGATCGAGGCCTCTTCCGCATGTTGGCTGCGCAATATTGATCACCGCGACATCATCCAAGCTTGCAACGGTCAACCTGTCAGCGGCGCGATGCAACAGCAATGCAGCATCTCGTATTCGTCTATGTCTTGGCAGTCGCTGCACCGTCGGGGTGCGATAAGTCGCAAAGCTTATATCGTGCCTTCGCGCTCTCCGAGTAGAAAAGCTCTGGGCGTGTGCATGTAGAATTCCGATTTCAAGACATTTATTTGATCAAGTTCAACGACACGATGCTCGCCTTGATCCTCAAAACCGTACTATCGGCTGCGGCTGTCGTGTCAGCGTGCACCCCTCCGACAGAACCTCTTTCCAACAACATAACCGAGGGCTTCGGAATTCAGATTCAGAATGCTTCAGTTCCCATCATCCACAATCGCTACATCAACTTGTGGTCGGCGGGCGGCGGTGACCAGCATCTCTACTTGAGCCCCGCTGGAGACTCTGCTTTCAACTTGACTCTAGTCAACGGCGTGCTGTCGAGGGGAATCATTCATGCCGTCATCAATGGAGAGGTAAGCTAATCAGTCGAGTTTTGGCATAGGCGTTTCATTGACAGCTCGTAGTACACTGCAGACGACAACACGACCAAGATGTTCATGACGGAGCGCGGAGACCCCAAGGCCTTCTTCCAGCCTGTCTATGGATGCAACCCGGACACGGATGCTGTTCAGGTCGAGTTGGACTTCGTTTCTAGAGCCGCTGTTCCAGGTGGTTTCATCTGCTTCAGAAGTGCGTCTGGAGACAGGCACGAGGCAAGATACTCGCCTCCCGGTAACACAGGTAAGCTTTTCTCTTTCCATTTCTTGAACAACCTTTCTCTCTGAACGGAACGACACCGCTTCTCTCTCTCTCTCTCTCTCTCTCTCCCTCCATCTGCGATATGAGCTCGGAACTGACAGATGCTCTAGTCATCAGAGCAGACCGTCCTTGCTACGAGGTAACGTTGGCTGTGGTTCCTGCTCCGGCAGCGTGAAAAGAGCTGAAGGCAAAGGTGTCAACATTATGAAGAGAAATGAATGCTTCGATCGAACACAAAGAAAGTCTCATTGAGCTGATGGTCCTGAGCTCATAATTTGACTTCATGAAGTACAACAGCGTGATCTTCCCTATTAAATACCTTGATGTAGTGAATTATCACCTTGTGAATCGATGCAAACCTCAGAATGATTAAACAGAAATGCACAAGGTAAAAGTCGCTAAAAGCAATAAATAGGGCGTTATAATAATAAGTCCTAATGACTATCTATTCAGTATTTCTCAGAGGAGAATTGATGCAATACGAAATATGTTTTGTACGTAGAGGGCCAGTGAGCATTTCGCACCTATTAGGAGGCTTGATGTATCATTAACTCACGTGAAACATGCCCGCCGAAAGCGCTGGGGAATCCTTGCCGAGGTCCAACTCGCTTGCCTGACAGCGACGCTCCGACTTGCAAACAACAACTCATCGCCAAATTCGCTTCATCACACAAAAGCCACGCCTCTGCAATTGCTTCTTCCCGCCAGGAGCTGTAATTCATCATGGGTCGAGACCAGAATGTCGAAAACTTACCGCAGACGGTCGCTGAACTAGAAGCCCTCCCTTGGTGTCGGGCACTCCTCACAAGCCCAAGAGTTACAACTTTCATTCCACCATCCCGCGTCCCAGAAAATGTCAATCTACACGACAGATTCTTCGGTAAAACGCTCAACAACTCGACTGGTGTACCGGCTTGCATTAGCTTCCATATCGAGGCCCCGGGTCGATCTCTCATCACAGAACTCTCGTCCCTATTCGCGCTTTCAAGAGGGGTTGATGGCTATCCCAACATCGCGCACGGTGGCATGACTGCAGTGCTCATCGACGAGGTTCTTGGCGTCTTAATTCAGAGGAACATGGACACAGAGCGAGACGACCCGATCTTCAAGATGAACACAGTGACCTCTTCGATGAACATCAAATACCTCAAGCCTATCAAAACGCCAGGTGTTGTGCTAGGAACTGGGCAAATCAAGGAAATTCGTGGGAAGAAGATCGTGCTTAGAGCTGTTCTCAAAGACGCAGATGGTGTGGAGCTGGTGATCTGCGACTCAATATGGATTGGTATCCCTAGAGTAAAGATGTAGCATGACTCTAGAAAGAGTTGGAAAGAACATGTACATACGCCTGCGCCATTCAACATTTGGTCTGCGCACATGCAACTTCCGGCCTACATCGTAATCCACGAGAGTGGCAATTTGGCAGGGCTTCAGGTCTCTAGATGTGATTTCCATATGGTCTTGAGGCAGCTTCAACTTTGAATTTTTGCAAGGCTAACACCTTCAAGATCCCAGGCTTTCAAGCTCTTCAGGTACCGTTCTGTTTGTGTTTCGAACCTACAGGACGGTGTTCACTGACATCGAATCGCGACTCTGCGACAGTTCAAGCCTTCCAAGTAGTATCCAGGATTTCCTTCACGGTCCAAGCCTTAATGTCAGGGAAAATCTGATTAAGAGTCTTCTTTCCAGCAGGAGGGATATCGAAGATCCCGTTCTCAAACCAGAGACCAAATACAGCAGCCATACCCTGGTACGCCTCTTTGGGGAAGAACGCATACGCAGGTATTTGGCTAGGGAGTTCTGTCGCCTGGCCAGCCTTTAGTTTCTCAACGCTGTCATACGCAACATTGAATTTGGTGCCTTGTGATACGGTCAGTAAATTCGAAACGTCTCTAAACTTGCGGATGCAATAAGAGCATACCTTTGGCAGCCTCTGCCAGCTGGATGAATTCATTGAAAGTGACCTTATCACCAACAATGAAAGTGTCAGGCTCCCACTTGTCTAGATCCAGAGCAGCAGCTACAAATTTGCCTACGTCTTGGGTGTGGGTGAAAGCTGAGGGCGTGTTTCCCGATCCTGGGATAGCTGCGGCGTTGCCTGGGATGTCGATAAAGAGAGTAAAGGGACTCATGTTGGAGGGGACAACAGGTGTCGCCCAGTAATCAAGGAAGAAGCCGTTGTGAACGACGGTGTACTCGAGATCCGTCGTCTCCTTCAAGAGGGCGGCAGCGCGAAGTTTGTTTGGAACAGAACCCAACTGCCTGCTTTGTCTTTGTTGATTGTTAGTGTCTGCGTGCAAGTCGGAACATTTCCCATCTGAAGTTTGAACTTACTCCTCGGTGTGAGGGACCCCCCATCCGCTGGAGATCATTCTCTTGGTCGACGTTGATGCATCGGCGGCGCGGATCAGCTCGAACTCGAGGGGAGTTTCACCCGGCGGCGGCATCATGGTGATAGCTGAGATGACCGTATGGACATTGTGCTCCTCCAGAGTTTTGGTTGTGGCTTCCACATCGGCGTAATCAACCACAACAATCGAAGCCCCGAGTTGCTTCTCCAACTCGGGGTTTGCCTTGAGAAATGGGTCAGCACTTATTCAAAAATAATCATCTCTGTTAACGAATCCTACCTTTCTGGCGAGGATCTTGACTGTGTGCTTGCCAGCGGCCACAATTGTCTCGACCAAGGTTCGGCCTACGTTCCCCGTACCTCCAGCGACTGCGATGACTGCCATTTCGGGTGTGGTGGTGTTTCCGAGATGAAAGCCTAGCTTAATGTACTCAAAGTGATCAGGTGGATGGTTGCAGATGAGACTTACTATTGAGTTGCCCTACGACGATGATAGTAACCTTGATGGCAGTGGCTCTTATAGAGGTTTCGTCAACCGCTCTACAGATACATATTTGCAGTATTACCTTGAACACTCCGCTGGTTGCTAGCGGAGTTCGTCGTGGTCTATCCCCTCATGGTCTTGGCGGCGGAAGCAAATAAGGTTTCCTAGGTTTTGTATCCGTAAAGGCGGATTCAATCGACATATGGAATTCTAGTTGTTATCGACTTGGGGGAACCAAGTACGAGATCCTATCCGAACATCTCGGTGACAAATTGCTTCCGTAAAACAATTGAAGGGTCCATAAATCGAGGGAGCAGACTCCTAGGCGCCCAAAGCGGTCCTGTCCCCATACGGAATAGATTACGGAGTACTTGTGGGAAGTTCCCTTTTGCGGCGGCTTGACTGAGTCGGCCATGCGCAGCCTTCTTACCTAACCCTCTTAGCACGGATGCATTTTACTTCCGGAAATTACGTGACCGGGCCAATCATGAAACTACTTTCTCTTCTTCTCTCATCTTTACTGAGAGTTTTCTTGCATTTTGTCCGATCCGATCACGAGATCTTGTTCAGATTCCCAACTTACTTCTCGTTTGCGGACTGCCGGCTGCTATTCGGAGCCGAGGTGTCATTAGCATATAGCAACGCGCCGCCCGGCCGAGTGGGTCGCTCAGTCCGGACGCATTCCCGAAACAGCCGTCCGAATCTCAACTGAACAGTCCGGGGTTGGCGTTCCGGCTTCCCCACACCTCCGCGCAACGGTGTGGCACACAAACATACATGCTTTGCCATGGACGCCATGGATACTGAGTCCGTTCAGAGCGGACGGACCCAAGACAAAGCTTCCCGCATTGCGAAGGTTTGTAAGTCCTTGAAGATGATTCAACAACAAATACTTACACGTGGAAACAAAGGCTTGTCTCCGATGCCAGTCGAAAAAAATCAAGTGCGATGGAAGGAGTCCATCATGTACTCCTTGCGTTAATCGCAGTCAGGAGTGCGTGTACCAGCAGGTACAGAGACGCCGTGGCCCCGGTCGAAGGTATGCTTAAGTTACATGCCATAACCTGCCCACTTACATGCTCTATTTTAATATTAAGTAAACCTCGAAGTTGACATAAGAATGTAGCAAAATGTACATCCAAGCTTTAGAAGAGCGACTATCAAAAATGGAAGCTGTACTCAGTCAAGCTGGGCTTCCGAGGCCAGGGGCACCACCGACCAGAATATCCCCTTCAGAAACTGATGCCGCGTCTGTCTCCGTTTTTGCCGGCCCGGCCATGCCAAACAGCACAGTCCCGATACCGAGCCACCGGCTTGACGCCGCGCAAGCAGCAGCCAGTCACGTTCCATCAGATCATCCAATGGGCGATGAAGTGGTATCGCCGGCGCCTGATTCACGAAGTAGCCAAACACCCGTCCCTCAACCTCGAGAAATCCCCGAACCGCCGTCACAACTATCGGGAAAGATGCCAGTCTTTGCCGTCATTGCGAGCCGTTTGAGAGAGGTCAATTCCGCCTCTTATTGTTCCACGTTCAACAGACAAGTCTTCACCCCTCGACTCGAACGAGAGGAGGCCATCACCATTTTGATGCCCCTCTATGACGACGTAATCAGTAATTACCCGCTTTTGAACTTTCATTACTTTGTCCGCCATTTCGAAACATTACCTCAAGCGGACGACACCTTCAACAGTACCTCAGGTTGGGCATACATAAACGCCGTCATTTCCGTGGGAACGCGTTGGAAGACCATCAACAGTGCGTTCCAGGAAGTCTGTCAACTTGCCTGGCCTTTCTTCAAAAACGCATTTTCTGTTCTGACGGAGTTGATGGTCAAGGGTAGCGACTTGCTGTCGGTACAGGCCATTGTCGCCATGGCAGTTTTCATGCAAGGAACTACATGCACCAGAACAGCGACTCTCCTATCTTCTGCCGCAGTAAGACTGTCTCAAAACATCGGGCTACATCGGCAGCCTTGCACAATGATGTCCATGTGCGCTCAGGATGTTGAGGCACGGAGTCGGGTGTTCTGGGCGGCCTACATACTCGATAAAGAAACAGGTCTCAACCATGGCCTAGATTCGATACAAGACGATGACGACATTGAGACTGAACTGCCTAGCGGTTGGGGAGACGGTGTTGACATATTGAACCTCAGAGCTAAGCTTGCGATGGTAGAATCTTCGATCCGGAGACGATTGTACACGGCAAAAGGACTTCGCCTTACCGATGACGACTTGGTCAAGGCTATTATCGACCTAGATGCTCTTCTTGAGGAATGGAGGTCAAGTATGCCAACAAACCTCCAACCATCATACGAAGCCCCTGCATTAGGGTCAGACATTGCACCAGATAACCTGAATCTGCAGTTGGCCTTTTATAGGTGCACAATGATGGTGCACTGGGCTGCGAGACGACATGACCAATACTCGACCGTAGCTGTTCTCATGGGAACACCCGCTGGGTTCGAAATGCCCTACATTCAGCTGTCCTTTTCGCAGAAGCGATGCCGCATGGCGGCGCACGCGACCTTGGGCCTATTTCGGACTATTTCAACGCCTCAGTACGCAGACCTATGGTAAGCCTCCGCGCTCAAAGGGATCACCCTTGGTCCGAGACACTCAACTCACATCTGCAGGCGAATCTTGTGTTACCCCCTTTGCGCGAGCATCACTCTCTTGACGGATGTGCTCGAGACCCCAGGCTCTGCCCGCGCTCGAGGAGATTTGGCGGCAACGAGAAACTTCGCTCCTTTCCTTCAAAAATTCGAAAAGTCTGAAGGATGCGATTTGAAACGTGTATTGACGGCGTGTGCCATGATGCAGCGAACGGCGCAATACGCTGTCGATGATGCCCAAAACATAATGCGCGCCCAGAATTTGGTCGGCAGCAACGGCGGTGGTGTGTCACTCATACCGGGTTTTAGTCTTAGTGAAGATGCACAGGTGAGACATCAGCTGAATTACAAGCTTAAAGCCACGACCACAGACTAACAATTCTTTTCTTTTGATACTCAGGTTTTGCAATCTTTGCTCGGCACGGCAACACATCCGATGTATCTCGTCCAAGGACTTATGGGAAATTTGCCCAACCGAGACCAGAATCTCACAATGAGGCTTGCGCAACTGCTTGGTACTCCCTTTGAGAGTGGCAAGCCTGGCAGTCCACTCGGATCTCAGCCTTTGCAGCCGGAGACATACGGCTTTGGGTTCGGCCAAGGTCAGGCTGGTAATGACCCGACGGCCAACTGGTCTTGATGCTAGCAGGTTTCGTCTAGGAGCAGACCCATACTGCACGGTTGTACCCTATTTAATGACCGGCATTACACGGATTTAGATGCGCTCGCTTCGAAATACAAAAGGTGCCTGAGAAATCCCGAGACGCTGTCACGTGTGCATCGGGTACTTGAGTTGAGCCAATCTACCAGCGTTCGTTCAAGCAAAGCTCTAATATTTTGGATGGGATTTGAAGCCAAGGGCCCAAGATGTGGCGCGCATGTTTGTCTATGTTCCGCGCCGCAGACTTGCTTGTACGTATGCCCGGATACGAGCCTGATCTTGGAGCTCGGTCTTCTTCTCATCAGTACATCTTCGCTCTTGAGTTGCGTTTCTTGCAAAACAAGGACGCAAAGTTCTCTGTAACTATTAGTAGGCTTGCAATCAATCATCGCTAGATTGCAACAGTCATTTGAGGTAGAATTAAAACAAAGTTGATCAATTCCTTTTAGCACCTAGGTGGATTATCCAGAAGCCAAGTGTATCTGCCAAGTTGTGAGCTGCCGCTAGCCGCCACGGCATCTGGAGGCCGGGGTGTAAGGGCTCCTTCCGTTCAATGTGCCTCATGGTCGAAATCCCATCATTTCTTCGATATCATACAAGAAGTCTTTCCAAGGCGAGCCACAGCCCCTTGGCACACGATGCTGTCCTATGGGAAGGGGAAATGGCCACACAATCTCGGCTTTTTGCCGCCTCGGCTTGACTTGTCTTGAGCCCAATCGCAGGGCAAACGCCGCGTCACCTCAGTTTTCTAAGGAGTAAGCATTTCAGCAAGGAGTTCATATGATTGAGATATATTTAAAGCTGGTTAATGTCTCGCAAAGGTACCTGATCAATATCAAACTTATTGGTATCTACCCGGTCGGACAGGTTCGATTATACTTCGATGAAGAGGATGTTCTCCTTTTACCTCTCTGTCAAGTGTCTGGTCTAGTTGCAGTATCATTGGCACGAACTTCTCTTGTTCATTCATTCAACTTACCTGGGCATTCCATCCTCCTTCGTCAAGTCTTTCTCCTGGCAAGAAGTAGTCAAGAATGTCAGTCGTCAAGGAAGTGGCACTTGGCATCATGGCCTGGACGAAGACGCCGCGCACCCAGACCTACAGAAAGCTCAATGCCGAAAGTGATGCTGAAGCTCTACGGTGTCCGGGTCCATACGACAAGCAAAGCTTCTCACATAGACTCCAAAGGACATCCCCCAAAGCTTTGGTCAAGCTTGTTCTCCCAGTTCTTCTCTTCTCTGGGCTACTTTTTGCCGTTGTTAGTACACCTTCACCTCACCAGATGACAGCCCTAACATACCTTATTCAGAGCCGTACAGATATCACACAATACAAACCCGATTCGAATAGAAATGCGCTATCTTCGTTCCCGCCGGTAGAGAAAGGTGGCCAGCGACATCTCAGAATAATCGTGCCGGCAGATGGTCCGTCGCCAGACCTGTGCAAAATGCTCATGTCGGGTATTGCATCCGGTTATCCCAGCTCGGTCATTGTTAACTGGGGCCGCGACTTTCAAAAATCTCCTGGAGGGTTCGGAAGCTCTCATCTCGGCAAGATCGATGGCACTCTCGAGTTCCTTGATTCAATCACTTCTGAAGAGGCTCCGGATGACGAACGCCTAGGACCAGACGACCTTGTCCTCCTCGTCGACGCCTACGATGTTTGGTTCCAGCTTCCGCCATCCGTCCTCATTCGACGATACATGGCGCAGAATTATGCTGCAGACGAACGCATTCGCAAGGACTGGGAAGAATCTCGTTCTTGGTTCCCATCAGACTCGAAAAAGAGCCTCGTACCGCGGCAATCCATCATCATTTCGACCCAGAAGAAATGCTGGCCCGATGCAAGTCTTGGCTCAGACCCCCACTGTGACGACCTTCCTCAGTCCACTGCACGGGAAGACATGTACGGCCCCCATACGGATGAAGATCCCAAGCAAATGCATGACCTTCGCCCACGGTACGTCAACAGCGGAAGTCTTATGGGTCCTGTCGGGGATATGAAGCGCATGTTCCGTCGTGCACAAGAGAAGGTCGATGAAAAGCAAGCTGCTGGTGCGGGGATCTTCAGCGACCAAGGTATTTTTGCCGAGATATTTGGCGAGCAAGAGATTTGGCGGACTTCCAAGCGACAGAATCACGATGAATGGGTGAAACTCCAAGCTGATCATCCTAAAAAAGCCGCTCAGGAAGCTGAGCAAAACGACTTCAGTGTGGGTCTAGACTACATCCAAGATCTTTTCACTCCTACTGTGTTCGAAGAAGATGATGGCCTCTACATCGTGTCATCGGATGGTTCTGGACTTCGACAGGCTGCTGCCGATAGAGGCATTGATCCACCAAGGGTGGCTGGCATCCCAGAAGACATGCTTGGTTTACGCAGCCCTATCCAAGAGTCTGACATCGACAAGACTATGGGATGGCAGGATCTTCCTCTTTACACAGATTTCTGGAGCACTTCGGTGCCAGTTTTGGTACACCACAATGCCCATCGCAATGGGTTGAAAGGCCAGAGACTGCGCGATTGGTGGAAGAACAACTGGTTTTTTCCTTATCTTCGAATTTTGTTAGAGCTGCACTCAAAACACCGAGAGTCTTTGGGGCCGCTGTTCAGAGCTCCGGGTCGCAATGGGGTGGAGGACTTGGTCTATAAACCACCAGCTGCAGATGCCAGGAAAAGGAAACCCCGCATCTTCAAGAAGCAGGATCTCAAGGATCAAGGGTTAGAAGAAGCAGACTGGAACAGTTTGTGTAAGTCTGAGGGCCATGACGAGTGGTGGAACGAGGTTTTGCAGGACAACGAAGGGCCTCTTTAGTACACGGGGCCAGCGTGTTACCGTTATACGATGACGTCTTCGTTCCAAGTAGTTAAAATCCTCCATAGTTTTTTAAATGAATATGAATGGCTACAAGCCGCATTACATGGCTCAGGGCTATCTCTTTTCCAGCGTTGAATCGACCTAAAAGGCAAAATATACTTGGGGTTTCAAGGATGCTCAACCATTTGGGTTGCTGTTTTGTTGGCCCCTACATGTACTTATCCATCATAATTGTGCTACATATACAAAACAAGGAGCAACATTCTTTTCTGACAACTCGTTTAGAGATATTGAACCGATGCACAGTGGACACTTGCGGGAGGATAGCCGAGGGGGCGGGGGTCAGTTTGAGCTAGAGCCCGGGGAAGCAGATATCGATGCCCATCATCGACAGCGAGTAGTACAGTATCGAAGTATCCGATGAACAACAGACGCATTCTCGATTCACCTTCACCCTGGGGGGATTATCTTGGCGTAGAATATAGTGCTCGTCACAAAGTGTCAATATCTTACCTCGTAGGCTGCCTTTCATACCACTTCTTTCGGTTCCCCAATAATTTTGTGCCTTGACCCCGAATGTTTCGATGACAATAACACAGTCAGAAGGTGAAATGAAACGCTGTGAGCTGTGAGATGACCATGACGTCGTGGTTGGAATGTATGTACGGCAAGCGGATGAGACTGGAGTAATGGAGAGTTTCGGCTCGTACCGAACATGATGATATCACACCTGTTTTATTTGCAACTTTCAACATAACATGGTACTTTAGTCTCTGTTACTATTGGCTTTAATGTCATGTTAACTCAAACCCCATGGTGTCAGAAGTCGTCCCACTCCCAGGCCCGATCAATACGAAGAGAAAACAAGTCTTGGCTGCATGTGTGTGGCTTTGGACCAGACCCAAATCACAGCCTGCTTCCCCAGCCCACGAGCAATTGCGGTCCGGTAAAGGCCGCGTCAGCTTTCTCGTCAACAAAGGACTACGTCGAGAAAGGTCAGATCTTAGCCCGTTACTCTAACCTTGACCCTAATGCTAGCAGCTAGCCTCGTCCAATTGAGTCCTTGCAAGGCCAACTGCATCCACTGGCAAAGACAACGTCTCGTTGAGCCCCTTATTCATAGTACCTTACTCGGGACAATTTCGTTCACCTCAAAAATGAAATCTACGTCCAAATACTTTCTTGAGTAATTCAGGATCCACTTTGTTGGAGGATACCTAATCAACGTCGTCACGAGGCCTCAAAAGCACCACCAACCGGGGGGTTGAAGTGCGGAGAGCCATATCATCCCAGGGCATTCTGAATCCTCATTGACATTTAAGCCTGTTAAATCCACTAAAACGTAGTTCCTGTATGGTTGTGGACCTGAAGACGGATTCGGCGATCGGCAGGGAGAGAACACGAGCTCGGGGTGCTATTTTGAGACGGCCAGGCAGCAGCATTTAGAGCGCTACATTTCCCCGAAGGATTTGACTACCAGAAAGGGCAACGGGCTCGTAAAAACGAAGGAGACAACTGGTCGGCACATGTCTATTCTGCATGGCAACAGTGTCTCTGCCACCATGCAATTGGTTCTTACTGATAATGCCGAGCAACATGACTGGTAGTCCCTTAACATCAACTTACAGCGATGCATTCCGCGATATGCAACTGACGTGTAGCAGACTACAGATGGCAGGTTCCGTGTTTCATCAGAGGAACTATCCCACAACTGCCGTGATTTTTGGTTAACGGGGTTGCCATCCGTTGGTTGGGCGCCGTGTTATTCAAGAGGTTGTCATATATGAATGCGCTCTTCCCAAGTCCTCGATAACCTCCCCATCAACTATCTCCTCTCATCTGAGCATAGTACAACATTCGTTTTGGCTGTAATCCAGGCATGAGCAAGAGTGAATTTGGTAAGGAACACTTATATCATCAATTCAAGGCATCCATGACTAAGACTAATTATTCCCCTCAGAAACGATGTCGAACGCTCCCGAAGACTTCAGCATCCGATCTCCAGTTCCTCAATACCAAGCAATGCATACTCCCGCATCAACTGCCATCGGCAGCCACGACATCGCCGGACCCAATGTCAAATACTGCCACGTCGTTCACTGCAACCATGGAGAATCTCTCGGCGAAGGCTCCCGGGCCAACGTCGTGCCCGTTGCCCTTGTGGAGAGATGGCCTGCTTTGATCGAGTGCCCTGCTTGCAAGGGGGTCACTCCCACCACGACGGACCATAGAATTGGCAAAGGAGCGCAGTAAGTCGCCAGAACTCATATGACAACTCGAAACTCTTGACTGATATGTTTCTATAGCTGGATGGCCGTTATGCTCTTCTGCACCACCGGTGTTGGTGTGTTCGCTCCGTACGCCATGAGGCCATTCAAGGACGTCGTTCACAGCTGCCAGCGCTGCGGACGCAAGGTAGCGACTCGGCGATTCGGCGGTGGCACCAAAGCGCATCTTATGTGAAATAGGGATTCATGATCGGATTCGGGGGTCATGCCATCGTGTCATCGTGTACCCTTAGACGACTCTTTTTTTTTTCTTTTTGGCCCCCGGTGTAAATGAGATACGACTGGTTCGTCATGCACCATCTTTTAAGTAAATCTAAGCTTCATTCCATTCCGTTCCAACTTTGAACCCTTGTGATTGCCAAGACTTAAGCGTCCCAATGAAGCACCGCATGAGCATCTGGCACATGCGGCCTTCTTATCGCGTGATGCAGGGGAGTCAACAACTGCCGCACAGGAAACGGCAAATGACGTTCTGATTTTGGGTCAGGATGTGTTCACACGTTGCATCCCGGTATCAATGAACCGGCGGGGCAGATTCCGTCCGAACATCGCTGATAATGTAGGGTGACCTCAAAACGATTAAAGAGTAGCTGATCCTGGTCAAGACTTTTTCAACTTCCTGAAACGGACAATCAGGCACGGCCATTGCAACCGGGCATGGCATCGTCCCGATTTTCTGTGTGACTGGTTGCAGGAAATGTGAAGATAAGTTTGTAGCCTTTGGGCATAAAAGGTCTGGGTGAGTGCAACATCTGGGTATTCTTTTCGTTTCGGTAGAGGACATCACGGCTTCCACACGGCTTTCATCCTCGGTCTGATAGATCTAGTCCCATTGTCAAGACACCGCCGAAATGCATCGCGCCATCTTCATCTTCCCTCTTCTCTTGCTGGCCAATCCAGTATCAGCGGTGACATGGTACTTCCTCCGGTACTACCCCGCGTCCGGTCAGAAGTTCACCTCTTTCTCGGGCGAGATGGTAATCCCATCACTTCCGCGCGCCGGTGTTTACTACCTCTGGCCGGGCTTGCAACCAACCGATAACTCTGGTGTGTACCAAAACGTTCTCGATGGTCGGAGCGGAACATGGTGGCTCGGGTCCGGTTGGTGCTGCTCTAACCCGAGTCTCCCTTGGGGCGGAGGGTTCAACACGTATGGCGGGGAGACGATTTCGTTCCAGAATACCCTCAAATCGGACAATTCGGCATGGACTAGCACTGTGACAAGACAAACTGGAGGCCAGGTTGTTACCAACGACTTCGCTCTGGGTGAGTCGCTCTTAAATGATAGATGAGGCCGCATAGTACTGACTGCCTACTTCAGCCGACAAGTCTTTCAACCAAGTGCTCTTTGCTATTGAGTTGTAGGTTTCGCACGATGCCAATTTGAGGAGTCTTACTAAGGCTTCATAGGTACGACGTCTCATGGGACTTTGGTCCACTAGCGTTCAACAACGTTGTAATCGTATGTCCATTATCCAATCGTCAATTGGGGACCGCAACTGACAGCCCTCAGACATCCACCGGTAGCTCAGACTCAAGCTGGTGCAACAGCTTGCCGCAGAATTTCAACTCGGCAACCAACTATACCATCACCGGTACGAGTGCTGGTCTAAGTGGCGATACAGTCACTTGCAATATTCAGTCGGTTGTGCTTCACGCACCAGCATAAGAGACGGGAGTAGGCATTGCGATAATGATTGTATGATTATGTTATTCTAAGAGGGATAATCCTCTGCGCTCAACATAAGGGGATATCAAGAAAAGCCAGCTCAACGCTCCATATCAGCCCGCAGGCTCATCAACTTCTTCCTCTCTCATATCTACCATAGTCGTGAACAGACGTAATAGCCAACGAGTGCGTGCGAATCAAAAGACTGATCTGACGAAAGATCCGCCACAGCCCTCATCATTGCCTGCCCAACAGAAGCAGTAAAGGCCCAGTGAGACAAGCAGCGATGAAGCAGCTTAGGGAGCGGGGACCTGTGAAGGGTTCCACCAAGGGTAGAACCGCTCGCCCTCGGCCAGGGACTTGAGGGTACACGCGGAACCCTCGCAGCCGGCGCCGATCTGAGTGGTGCCCCACCAGTTGACCTCAGCACCGAGCCATTGCACAGTGAAGAGCATGAGGATGCCCGAGAGTGCAATACCGGCGGAGAACGAGGCCGACAGGACAAAGTTATACTTGGACCAGAAAGCCAAGTAGCGGCTTCGGACGTAGATCCAGGACAACCAGGCAATGGGGACGGCGGGCCAGGCGTATGAGAAGCTGTATGGAGCCCAGTTGATGCCTCCATAAAAGAGAGCAACGGGATGGAACTGACGGAGGTAGCGGTTCTTGGGGTAAAACTTGATCAAGTAGTAGAACAGAACCGGCAGGATGATACCCAGGGGGAATCCGAGCAGGAGGTAGTTGTATTGTCCTTGGTGACCGAAGACCTTGATAGGTCCAATGGTACCCCAAAGCACCGCAGCGGTGAAGAAGGTGTTGGGTCCGGGGCAGAAGAAACGCATGGGAGCGTCGGGAGTGCAGACGTTGGGGATGTTAATCTGGAAGTTCATGACACCCGTGCAGACGAATGTGGAGATGAGAGTGGCAACCATCTGGCAGGCAAAGGTCTGACGGGGAGGGATCTTGAGATAGTGAGCCACCTTCAAATCGTTTGCGAAGTGGACGGCGTGAGCGCACGTCACATAACTATTCCGACATTATTAGAACCAGGCGCGGTCACAAGAGGAGAGAATCTTGTACTTACCCAAAGGACTTGAAGAAGTTCATGGCCAAAGCATTGCCCTGAACCCACATACCACCGATGAACTCAGCCAGAACATTGAGTGTAACCTCGATACCTGTCATGGCCTTGATAATTCCAATGGGGATGACAAAGATGACGGCCAAGAAGATACCATAGGGGACAACGCCCGGCGTAGTGTAAGTAGGCCATGCCGCGACACCTGCAAAACCGAGGCCCGCAGCGACGATGAGCGTGCCAAGATACCACCACTCAGAAACTGAAGCGAGTTAGTATTGGTCAGATCTCTTCACAATTGGAGGCACTTACCTTCAGGGTAGGAAGCCATGAGACGGTTGTGGACGTCCTTGTACTCGCCAGTCTCCTCACCCTCGGCAACCGTCTTCTTTTGGCGGCGAATGCTGGCCCACATGTTCTTGAAGCCCATCACGATCTCGTAGCGGTGGAAAATCGCAACGTGGGTGACGGCAGCAGCGTAGAGGGCAAAGAATGCGCCATAGACCAAGGTGTTGGCGGCTGCGAGGTAGGCGGCCGAATAGTTCATATACTTCTCATGGTCATACATGCCACGGTCGTCGAGAGCGCGGGAGACATTGTAGAGATTGCCGAAGTGGTCGAAGACACGGTTTGAATTGATTGGGAGGTAGGCAGTGTTCCACGCGTTCGTATAGTAGAGACCCATGATGACGAATCCAAGTAACCACATGCCGAGAGTGCGGTTGAAGGTGGAAAAGGCAGGAACCATCTATTCAAGATTAGGAATGCCCAGAGTAAGACGTCATGAGGATATAGGATGGGACTTACCAAGGGATCAACACTATCGAAAAGCCTGTGTAGGGAAGGGATCAGGTCAGCGCGAATTCCGTCTGGAAGTGGTGTTCCATGAGCCGAGGGGCTACTCACATGACGTTCCAGTCAAAGGTAGGCCAGGGGTTGAACATTCCCAAGCCGTTGCGGAAACCTGTCAAAATCTCCAAGTTGTGGTTGTCGGGCGAGATCCAAGTCATCCAGCTGAAGAAAGTGAGGACTTCAAAGATGTAGTTCGGGAACCAGAAGTAAATAAACATTGCGGCGAAGGACCACAGGAAGAACTTGTATCGAGTCATCGAGTATAGTCTCTTGAACGGTCCCGGCACCGCAACATTGTTTTCGTTGTGGAGTGCCGAATTGAGGGCGATGGTGACGAGAGACGCCGGCCACACGCAGTACGATGGGTACACAATGAACCGGCGGGTGAGTCCTACACCACTGTTAGCATTAGGTCTTCCTCCGAGGTACATCGCTGTATCGCTTACCAGCGAGACCGTAGCCAATGAAGTTGGTAGAGAGCGCAATCAGGATCTGATAGCCAAAGCTCTTGGCGTACGGCTGGTTGAAGTACTGCGGCAAGACCTGAGTCCAGACAATGTACTGGGTGTACGGCAGACTCTTTGCAGTATTGGCCATAATGGCAATAAGCATATGCTCCTTCTTGTTGAAGCGGCCTGGGTTGAGGGGGATCTTATAACCGAAGACGGAGAAAATGGTGTTCGGCATGAACTTCTCCCATGCCTTACCGAGGGGGAAGGCGAGAAGCTGGGCGACGTTGGATTCGATACTGATGAGAGGTTGACGGATACTGAATAGCTGTTCCAATCGTTAGCTTCGTGCTATGGAGTAACGCAGCGATGCTCGTGATCGATGACTTACTTGGTTGATGAAGGCTAAGAAGACCGAGAAAAAGACGCCAATAGTCCACGCTCGGATCGTTCCGCACGGAAGGGAAGGGTCGTCCTTGTTGTCGACGACAGCTCGCACCTCAGCGTAGGGGCTATTGTTGGTGATCAGAGCAGCCTCAAGCTTCATCTCCCAAATCAGTTGCTCGTGCTTCTCGGGTCTCTCAAAAACATCCTGGTTGTCTGCTGTCGCGTCAGTCTCGCTGTTGCCACAAGTCATATCGTATCTAGGTTTCACCCACCAAGGAATTCATGGATCTTCATGAGAACGCTGTGAGGAAAGTTCGGGTCTCGGTTGTGAATCCTCAGGACCGTCTCCATCATCTGAGTCCTGTGTCAATGGCATATCCATGCTACCTAGGCAGTCTTTCATCATACCTTGCGCACTCCTTCTAAGGACAGAGTGGCAGCGACGGCTTTGGCCTCGATGAGATCATCCTCGGTAACATTAAGATGGCTTGAGGAGTTGTCAGCTCTAGCTATATGTATGATCAAGAGCATTTATCAGAAACTCACGATTCAAAAGCTTCTTCCTCAGAGTTAAGACGGTGGAGCTCCTCGGTATGCGCGCCCTGCACGAGCTGGTCAACTCTATACATGATATCGTTCTGCCATTAGCACTTACAGCAGCAAGTTTCTCGTCAGTCAGGACGCCCTGGTCCCTCCCAATATCAATGGGGGAGACCGGCGAGTCGTTCTTCTCGTCGTTCGCCATCGCGCTTTGGGCGGCTGTGAAGTTGGGCGTGGATAGAGAGCAAGAGACCACGACGTAAAAGCCAGATCTGGTGGCGCGGGACACGGGGATAAATAAACCTTTTGGAAAAGACTGAAGACAGCCAGGTCGCTTATCAGCGGTACCACATGGTCGGCGCCCAGATGCCAACCGGGTACCTCACACATGATGGGCTTCCACATTCGGATGATGCGAACAGGTCGGCAGGTGGCAAGGTATCCAAGATGATTTCCGGAGGCAGTCCCAGTCTAGGCCGGCTAGGCAACATCTTGGCTGTCTAGTCGAAAGGATCGACCTTCTCGGTCAGGCATTCAACCGATGAGATGGGTGGACAGCAGATATGCAAGAGAACGAGGATTGGTTCGTACAACCAGGCGATTCGTCTCCAGTTGCGAAGACGGCGACCACAAAGTCTCGGCGAGACAAGGAGGCAGGGGAAGCATTTGAGTTGTCAGACAATGACCCAACTATAGGTCCTTCTTGACGGGACAGGGGAACAGGGAAGGGTGATCGCAGAAGAAGCAGGGTCTTGGACGAGATCCTTGCGCAGTACAGTCGGATACGTGGGGGAGGGTCAAGACTGGTAGGTTAACGACGCTGGTGGTACGGGGTGCGCGTCTGTTGCTTCCCACGTTCTGTGCAGATGGGGAAAGATGCGGATCCATCTATACTCTGCTCCTCGTACTTCGTACTCTGTATCCAGAGGGGAGGTATGTTTAGTGTAACTGAGGCGAAATTTGTGGCATGAATACAGATCCCTCTCAGTGAGATTGGCAGTACGCAGTAGCAGCAAAAGGTCTAGTGTCATGATCTGCCTCCGGCATCAAAATGAGGTCTCAAGTGACTAGGGTGACAAACCACGGTGATGATGAGTAAAAACCGTCTATGCCGTCATTCTGAGGAAGAATGAGTCTATTCTCACCAGCCCAAGTCACCTGGCAGAGGCAGAGCGACTAGGAGGAGATTGACTTGGAGACACAGTCGATCGCGCTATCTCTCCGTGCCGCATTTCAGGTGCTCCTTACGTTAATATCTGAAGAAATGGAGGCCTCGAGAAGTCTGATGGTTCGCAGTGGAGCGTGTATCCGTGGAAGTTCAAAATTGGAACCACGAGAAGCGGGAGGGAACTCAATATTCAAACGGAACAGGGGTCCAGCCACAAGGCGTAGAGAAGTGGTTTGACTGAGGGACTGCATACTTGAATTGAGTTAAATGCAGTTTCGCCCAGCTTAACAAAAGACCAGCGGGTACTTTTGTCATTCTTGGACAAGCATATAAGCGTAAGGAAACGGAAGAGGGCACGACATTCGGAGAGATCATACAGAGGTGGGAAAGGAGGGAAAGGAGCCCCCAAAGTGAGGTGGGCTCTGAGGATTGTCACGTGTGGCTGTGTGGGGGAAATTAAGGTTAGATTAGCGTTGGCACGGACCATATACGTACCGATTCGGCTGTTCACTGTGGCACATGTGGTGTGGCTAGTGCGATCTACGTACTGATCGGTCAATGCCAGCTGCCCACCGGACCACGCTTTTCCCAGCTACATCTTCATCTCTTCACTCAACTTCCCTAGCTCTGTCCAAATTCATTGTACGCTCAAATTACCGAGAAGTCGGCGTTCCTTCTCGATGTCAGGCCTGTCCTCATACGACACTAATCCTACGATCAACCTCTTCGCAGCGAACCCCAAATAGGCGCCATGTCGGGAACTTTTGTCAGTCAGTCGCGGGCTTACTTTGTCTTGGAAGGCCTTCCTACTACGTAAATCCTCGCATCGCAAAGTTGCGAAGGGCGGGGGACAAACATCACACGGCAGGCCAATGCCGTCTTCAAGGCAAGCTGCCAAAGGATTTTCGTTCTCGGTGATTTTTCTTCTAGCGGCCGTTGGTGAACCCCTGCTTCACACACAGTCTCTGGGTAGTCTCTAGTCCTTGTCAGCAGTGCCCAGATCTCGCTCGGGACCAGTCGAATCATCTTGTTGCGCGCAAGTTATCCAGCCGTACCTTCAACGTCCCATTCAGGCAGGAGCTTAACACCCGCTTTATATAAGAACGGCACCACCACTCTCTTGGCTTTTCTTGGTTTCTCTTGGAATTCGCTTGGAACAAAGCCACCGTCTGCGATTAATACTCTTTCACCCTCGTTATCAGCCATTCTCTTCGTCCTTGGCTTCTTGGCACATTCTGCTATCATTCTCCTCCTCGTCAGAAACTCTCTTCGCGCGATACCCCTCACGAGTCACGAGCCGTGCTTCCTCTTCCCACCCACCTCAAACTCAAACACCACCAGAGACAGAACTCAGCGCCCACCAGGACGGGAACGGGCAGCAAATTGCGCCTCACAATGGCATCGATCAACATCTCGAATGGCTGACGTCTCCCGTCTTGTCCTGCTGCAAGTGGCGTTCGTTAGCCTCTTCGTGGAAGAAGGAAGGTCATTCTGGAAGATTGCGAGGAGGGAGGAGAGTTTGACTGAATCCCGGTGGACGGCTGTCGCCCGCGGTTGTTGTGTTATTCGTCAATCACCCCGGGCTTATCGCAATCTCTCGCCAAGCATTGAAGACCCCACGATGCTCCAAACTGAGCGGGTTTCTCTTTATTGGAGTCGTCGTATCCCGGCTCGCGGTCGCTGTAGTACGACCCAACCCCCGATGGCAACGAATCTGTGGTACGGTTGCTGCAGCTAGCCTCAGCGCTCCCCTCCAGCTGTTCCACGAGCTTCCTACCTCAGATAGCTCCATGCAGTCCAATCCTGGCGTCGACTTTGTCGGACAGCGACCGCGAATTTCGAGGTCGTTGCCCCACATCCCGCATTTTTATGTGTCGGTTGAAGACGAATGCTCTTGGAGTCTGGACCGGAGACCTTGAAGATTACGAAAGCATGCTTGTTTACCCGTGGCGGACGGAGTCAAATCCCACGACTAGGACGTTAGTTTGGCATCCGCCCACCGTCATCACGATTTCCGTGTGGATCGACTCTTCGGGGGCAGAAACATCATAATAGTGCTTTCGAGAGGCAGAAAGGATGGGCTTGCAACAGCCGGCATGTATTTGCGCCTTGATATCGTTCTTGATATTGCCACATGGATCTTCAATCACAACGTTACGCGAGACGAAACGGCAATGACGGTATTGGCTGTCTGGTACTGGTAAAGAACTGACGAATGCGGCTGCGCCTACACAGAGAGTCGTTGCTTGAGTCCTATCGTCTATTCCTACCATCAGATCGTCTTGCGAACTGGCCAATCCAAACGACCACCCTACGCGAGAGACGGAGCAGACTTCCTGTTCTAGCAGTTGCGGGATTCTAGCCCAGAGGTCGTATCACGCAGATGTTCAGCTGCGCCGCAGGTGCAGCGGTGTTCGTTCAATTGTCTCAATCAACCCTTTTTTTCTTCTTTGGACCTACCGTACAGCTTCACGGAGACAATTCAGTCTAGTGGTGTCATACTTGAGATCTACTGACATGTATAGGTGGTCCACAAGATAACGCCGTCGCTCGAAACGCTCTACGGAGTACACATACTTGCTATTTGAATACCAAGAAACTGATCCTTCCACCAGCCAGCAAAGTTTCCATGGCTGATGAAATTTCTGTCGGTTGAAACCGCTACTAGGACATATTCATTGTCCTGCGTATTTCCTTGCTCATGTATCACTGCAACGAGCTTGCGGTATACGAGAGCTTGGTGAACTACACGTGCCGCTAGGCTCAGGTCAGGCCTAACATCAGAGTCGCAGTGCGAGTTCTACCGCCGTCCACCCAGAGTGCTGTTACTGTCTCCTTTGGACGTCTACTAGCAAAGGAAGGTGAATCTGAGAAAACAGAACCGGCTGGTTGGTACCATTGTGGTATTGCAGAGACGGACGCACATGATATTCATGTCCCTCCGAATCCCCTATTCTCTTTCCTTCCTCAACCCTGAAATCCTGTGCCACTCTTAGATCGGCTTAGTCTACCGATGATAAGACTTCTTGCGGTCCCAAACAAGTAGGTGAAATGGTGGCAAGTGAGGCAACTTGACCGTTTCTAGAATAACTTGATCAAGGCCGGGGGTCTTCGACCCGAGGTTGTCAAAACCGAAGCAACCCGATGGTGTTTGACGCAATCCAGTCGACAACAGAATCCTCCTGTACTTAGTTCCTGCGCCGAGCCTGTGGCAAGTTCGCCTTTGCCGCCGACTTCTACGCAGATATGCATGCTGCAGCCCGCAGCCCGCTCCCCTTCATGGCCAGGATATGGTTGGATCGATTACTCCGGCGCATGTGCGAATGTCACTGTCATTGTATGCAATCAATATGTTTGCTCTCGGGGATCCGCGAGGTTGGGACATCGCTGGCGTCCGTCGTCAAGGATTCGAGATCACCCTTATGTTCCTTATCGTAGACGGGCTTGGCTCGACATCACACAGGACTGGATGTGATACCAGATGCGCCGAGCTGAGTATGATATCTCATTCTTTCACCTCCCATCTACTCTTAGTTTGGTCATTCTACGCCCGTGGTTGGACAGTAATCCCATCATCGCCAGGGTCGCGTCGTCTATCGTCTCACGTTGTCCCAGATTTCTTTGATCTTTGATAATTCTTTCCAAGTTAAGATACCTACCAACCATGTTGATGGTCGGTCACTCTATCCCGTTCTCACTAACTCGGAATACGGTCTTATATTACATCATCCCGATCAGTATCTCGATGAACAAATTATTGATTCGGCCAAGCACTCTCACTCATTCTTCCGTGTTTGGTTCGGTCTCCCGGTGCCCCTGTCTTAACTCCTGTCAAGAACCATGAGATTGACTATTGGCAGCTCTGCGATTCCGTCTCACCTCACCAATAAAATCACTTGAGTGTATGCGTATGAAGGCATGTTGAACAAGCCACCCAACGAATCTCGATGACAGACCAACTCTTATCCACTTGGGCGGACTACCGTTATGTACTGGATGCGGTTTGGCTTCATTCGATCGCATCTTGATGTTGAGGATTTGCTGCCTCCAGCAAACCCTATACGAAAATCTGTGTTGAGGGTCCTTAGTGAGAACGAACTCTCGTATGGTAACTATCGTGCTTGCTTCCGGAACTGAGACAAGAAGACGCAGGTCCCCTTAAGCCACGTCGTCTCTTTCTAACCGTTTCAATCGTCTGGTTCTTACTAAGGAATGAAAGAGGCGTAGCAATCGTTGCAGTGCCCTTTAAGAGCCCTTAAAGTTATCTAGCCAAAGCCTCGAGAACTCGACTGCTCGGCAAATACTCACGTCGAAGTCCCTTTCAAGAACATGAGCCAGTGGTACCATGTCTCCTTGACATGCCTTGCTATAATCACGCACCGAGAATCTCGTCAACAAACACAAGCCAAGATTATCTTAAACTACGGGACAGCTTCCCGCAGAGCCCATTCTGAGACGGACTCCTATACTGGCCGTCTTTGACGAAGTGGCAAGAGAGCAACAACATCGGAGCACCTCAGTCATTCGGCTTGAGACGGCGGAGTGTGCCTGTGTAGTTGATGTATCCAACCTTGAGATACGACACATGGAGGTATCAAGATAGCGACCTTCATCTAGTTCGGCGGGCCGATGACGGGTCTTGGCAGAAACAACCAATACTTGCGAAGCAGAGGGGTGATCACAGCCGTCCCGCCACCGAAGATGTATCGATGAGTGACGGAGCCATAGAGGGCGGGGAGGCTCTCACTTTCGCCAGGTTATCATGGTACAGATGACGATTTGAGAATTATCTCCATCACAGTGACATCGGCTTCCAAGAGCAATCGAGATGGACGGCCTCGGGTCTGACGGGGTCTGGCACGGGACGGCAAATCCCGGGCTCGGCCTGCGCAGTCTCCTCACGCATGGCCCGTTGGGAAGTGCCGGAATGCCTCCCTGAACGGAGGCTGAGGGCCACATCATCGGAAGGCGTTTCTGCCGGTTCCGCTGTATTGGGCGTGCTTTCCGTACCTGGCTACATCTGGTTTCGTTGCATCCTGAAGCCAAGACCTCGTCGTCACTGTCTCATATCTTGAAGTCCTTTCCCATGTTATTCCCAAGAGCCCCTTCGGTTCCACTTCTTAACAATCTAGTTTGGGCATTCTTCGATGGGAAAGCCATTACAAGTGTAGAACCCGCACATTAGACACGGGAAAGGATAAGGGTGCTTAAACGTACATCATCCGCAAAGCTGCGGAAAGGGGTCAGGAGTCTGGGCAAGCTTGCTTGGTGCCTTGGTGTAAAGTTACACCTTCACAAGGGAAATGAGCGCGAATATGGGGTATTGAGCTGTAGTACCTTTCAAGAGCCATTATAGTTATCCAACCAAAGTCTTCGAGACCTGCGGATGTCTTCAACTGATGTACGGACCGGGGTTGTCACTTGAGGTCAGGCTTGAGACCAGGCCCAAGGAGAGTTTGTCCATCCTTACGGCGCCCGCTGAGTTGAGGTGATGAGCCTATGGGAAAGTGGCGCATTTTTTCGCGCGCTGTCACGTCTAGAGACAAGAGATCTGGATCGGCTGGGTAGGAGGCAGGTTAGGGTCCTGCCGAGGAGGCCGTTTCGCATTACATTGAAGCACAGGGTGTTCGCGCTCGCAAAGGATGTTGGGATATGCTGAAGCGCCTATGGTACTGGAAGAAAGAATATGAGTATATGGGCTATGTTCAGTGTCTGTCTCGTGAGGTGGCTAACAACTTGCTCACCACCGATTACCGCGACTATAGAAGCTCATCCTGAAACTGGTATACTTCACAGGTAACTTCGTTGAGTGAAGTGCCTCATGTAGAGTTGAAGGGCCACCAAAATGCTTTTCGAACGCTGCGAAAACTGACTGCGATTAAGCTTGAAAACAAAAGCACCCGCTGCACGCGCCGTGTGTTCCCACATGCTGTGCTCCCACCGGTAGCATCTCACAGCTGCGGGCGGGATGAAGCTTGTAAATGTCATTCAAGTCGGACTGTCTCAAACCATTCTTCATTCACGTTTCAGCGGTCACTACGGTGTTGAGATTTCTTGTCCACAATAACCTATCTTTCGTGAGCGCTGGGCGCAGATTGCCCCTGAAGATTGTCGTCAAGTAGCCCATGTCGAGAAATGAGGCTGCGCACGTCAGATCTCGTGACTGTCGCGACGGGTGTGGCTGAGCTCCTTGTGTCGCAGAGACGTTTATGAATACTCACACCCGCGAGACAGTGACCAGAATTTTCCCGGTGTCACCAGGAACATGACCTTTGACATTTGGATGGTTTGTATTTAGGATCCCCTTTCCATTATACTACGTGACCACCTACATGCTTGGATCACGACCATGGAGATGGCGGAAGGGGCACACACCACACACATCTGTCGCTCGGTCCAGTTCGTCCCGCAGATCGTCATCATGGTCAGGGTCCCGGCCAACTGAGCTAAAATGTCATTTTTTGTCCCACAGAATTCTTCAGTAGAAATGACCTTTTGATTCGTCTTTGGATGGTGAGACATACGCATGCATTGGGTGTTGCCTTGTGAACCGGCCAGCTCGGGGCAAGGGGAATGGATATTAATAGCATTGTAAGAAAAGGAATGCCTAAGGAGGCGCCTCGTCAATCCGCCAACTTAATCTTGATCGATTCGCTTCCGAGACCCAGAGGGAATGTTCGTCTGGAATGTCTCATACTCGATATCATGATCACACCAGGAGAACCGCATCTGAGAAGTCCTGATCTTCTGGCAGTGCCGGTGATTACATTACCTGTGACCTTGGCGACGAAGTCCAACTAGCTAGCTCATAATGTGACCATCACTCCGAGCCAGGATTGATGTCGAGATAACGTCAAAGATTATTACTGGGTACTGCGATGAAGCAGGTCATCGGCCATGGCCAATAACTATCAATGCTGATGCTGCTGATTACTCTGAAACACCTCGAACTCGTCTGCAAGACGGCGACGAAGAAGATGTAGGAGGCCGTTCAGCACGAGTCACAGAAGAGATAGACCGAACCCCTCGAAGAAGGTACAGCTGACTGCCAATGCAACTTTCGGTGGCCGACTCTGACAGCTCAAGGTGATGTGTCTAGCCCAGTGCCCTGCATGCACCAGCAACGTCACGATGTACAACTGGCATATGCAAAGGAAGTGTTCCGCTAGTCGTTAAAGACGCCATAAATTCGCGTCTTGAAGCTCGGTAGTGGTTGCCAGCCACCGCTATGCCGAATATTTGAGAAACCAACACATTTTATTTAACCTGATGGGGAAGCGCGATGCTGGCAGCTCTAGCGGCGATTTCCGTAGAACCAAGTAAGCGCTGGCGGTCTGCAGTAACACTTCAACGGCGTTGCGCCCGGCTCGGGTTGGTACAGCGCTTATCGACACCATTTGAAGGCACTTGCCGAGCAGCTCGCGTTCTGTCAGCGTAGCTTTGCTCAAATGTTTCTGAGGAGGCTGGGGCCGGAAATCAGGAGCTCCAGAAATGTAGGTGTTGATGATGCCCCCCGAGG